AGCTATATACCTCAGTCTTTGTTGTCTTTAGTTAGGATTTACAGATAACATTTTTTGCCTTGTCTGGTGACTTCAACACAGGTTATTCAGTTGCACATTTAAAGCTCAGAAGTAGTGCTTGGTTCCTTTGGAAGTCAAGAGACGCAGAAATGGAAGAAGCCCTAGCTAGAGCTTTCCAAAGATTTGAGCTGTCAGAAACAGAAATAGGAGGAGTAGATCTGAGTGGTGAGGATATTGAGGAAGGTGTTGTGGGGTGCCATGGAAGTTTAATAGGAAAGTTGGTGGGGGAAAAAGTAGCCAATTTCACAGGGATAAAGAATTTCACAAATCACGCCTGGGGATATCCCAGAAAGATGAAAGTTACTGAGCTAGGCCCCAATTTGTTCCAGTTTCATCTGGAGGAAGAAGAGGAAAAGAAAAAGATCTTGATAGGAGGCCCTTGGGTTATGGATAATCAGGTACTAATAGTTAAAGAATGGGTAGTGGGATGTGAAAGGAGCAACAATTTTTTCCAGCATGCTTTCCTCTGGATTCAATTATGGAACATGCCGGTCCATTGGATGAGCAGAGTGGTGGGTTTTAAACTAGGTGAGATTTTTAAGTCAGTTAGGGAGGTGATTATCACAGCAAATAGAGGGAAAGTGGTGAGGCACATGAAGATTTTGGCTGAGGTGGACGTCACTAGACCACTGGTTCGAGGAACAAAAGTTAACAGTAAAAGCAAGCAGTGTGGGTTGAGTTCAGATACGAACGATGCCCGGATTTCTACTATAGGTGTGGCATCATTGGGCATAGTGACAGGACATGTAATGTGGGGGGAAGGGATGGAATAGCAGAACGTGAGGAACAATATGGAGCTTGGATGAGAGCTAGGCATATAATGGTGTCCCCTTTAAAGGGATGAGTGGAAGCAGAAAAGGTAATAGAAAGAAGGAAGGGGGAAAATGGGAACACAAGTTGCCAAGTGAAAACAGGAACAAAAGAGAAGGAAGCCACTATAACAATAGGTGGAAGAAATCATGTGGAGTTGGAGGTAAGGAAAAAGAGGGGAAGGAACAAAGAATGAGGAGGCAGAATGAAGAAGGTGGGATGAGATATTGAAGGACCAAGAGTGTGGATAGGGAGAACCAAGAGGGGGAAACATGGTCATGGTCTCAGCTGAGGGGAAAGATAAGAAGAAACAAATGAAAATAAAGAACCTAACAGAGGGAACCAACCGTCACAAACTTCAGAGAATGAGGAAATGGAGGTGGAGATCACAAATGAGAAAAGTGAAAAAAAGATATAGAAGCAGAAAATAATGACTGGTCAGACGTAAGAAAGAGAGGAAAGCAGAAGTAATTGATGAGATTGGCAACAAAAAGGAAAAAAGAGTTCATTCAGAAGAAAAGGGAGGCCGTCTAGGACCCCTCTACAAGCAATTACAAACATAGATGAAATGAGGGAACTGGGAGGAAAAAGGAAGGTAGCAGGTCTGCTTCAAGGGACACAACCAATGGAGGAGGATGAGGCTAATATCCCAAAGGTAAAAGTCATGAAGTTGGACTTAATCAAGGACAGAACAACTGGGGAACTGGAGGCTAACCCCCGTATGCCTCCACAGTATAAATGAAGGCTGTGGTTGGAATTGTCGAGGTGCAGGAGGCCCCTTAACAATTCCCCAGCTGAAGAAAGTTCTAAACTTCCACTTTCCTAATGTGGTGTTCTTATGTGAAACAAAGAATCAGGAAAAGTTCATGAGAAAGGTGCAAAGGAGAATTAGTTTTGAGAATAGTCATTTTGTTAACTCAGATGGAAGAGCAGGGGGGTTGCGTTATTCTGGAACAATGAGGTGAAGATAGACCAGATAAGAAACACAGAATGGTACATTATTGCTCGAGTAGAGGATAAGGAAACAAATAGCCACTGGTGGTTAGTGGGTGTATATGCAAGCATAGACAGTAACACTTGGAAAGAGCAATGAAATATTTAGAGGATAGGATGAAGGAATGGGGGAGGCCTGATAATTATGGGAGATTTTAATGACTTGAGATCGAATGAGAAGAAGTGGGGAGGAAAAGATAGAGCTGAAGGTGTTTTAGAGAGTTCAACAGGTTTATTAAGCCAATAATTGATTGATCTAGGATATCAAGGAGTGCCATGGACATGGAGCAATAGCTGGAGAGGGATGGTGAGGTGAAGGAAAGTTGGACAGGTGCCCATGTAGTACAGAATGGGTGCAACGATATGAGAAGGCACGGTGCAATCATGGTGAAACAGAAGCATCAGATCATCTCATGCTAATAGTTGACACTAATTCAGATACCAAAAGGAAGAAGAGGAGGTTCTACTTTGATCAAAGATGGACCAAAAATCTAGAAACAAGGAGGTGATTCAAGGAGCATGGAGAAAAGATCACCTTGGATCCAGAATGTTCAAAGTGACCAGGAAAATAAAGGAATGTCGCATTGCTATTCTGGAATGGAGGAAAAAAGTGCAAGGTAATTCCAAAGTAAGAATCAAGGAGTTAAAGGAGAAACTGATTAAGGTGAGAGAAGGAAATGATGGTGGTAAATGCGGACAAGTTGCTGAGCTAAAATCCCAGCTGAGTAAATCATATAAGAAGAGAAGCTGTTTGGAGCCAAAAATCAAGGAGCAAATGGCTCAAGGAAGGGGATAGAAATACAGTTTTCTTCCATTCAACGTAATGGCAAAGAGAGGAGAAACACTATTAGTACTCTGCAGAAAAATGATGGGACATGGTGCAAGGATGAACAAGAGATAGAGGAGGAACTTAGTGAATATTATAAAGACCTCTTCACCACCACAAGTCCGGACAACTTTGAGGATATCCTTGCAAAGATACCAAAGCACTATTTGTAGCCAAATGAATGAGCAGCTGATAAGACCAGTGGAGGAAAATGAGATAAGGTAAGCTTTGTTCTCCATGTTCCAAACAAAGCACCAGGACGGATGGTATGTCTCTCTCTTTTTTCAACACTACTGGAATATTATCAAAGTGGATTTAGTGGCAGCTATTAATAGCTTTTTCCATATGGGTTACATTCTCAAAGTTGTAAATGAAACTATTATCTCTTTGATTCCAAAATTGAGGCTCCCAAATCTATTGTAAATTATAGACCAATCAGTTTGTGCACTGTCATGTATAAAATCATTTCCAAAATCATAGCAAATAGGCTGAAAATGGTTTTGAACACTGCATTAGTAACTCTCAGTCAGCTTTTATCCCAGGCAGGCAAATTCTTGATAATGTAGTGGTAGCTCATGAAATTCTTCACTTTTTGAAAAATAGGAGGAAGGAAGGGTAGGATACATGGCTCTAAAACTTGACATGTCAAAAGCTTACGACAGAGTGGAATGGAAATTTGTGGGAAGACTAATGATGAAATGGGTTTCTGTCCAATCTTTGTCAGATGGATCATGACTTGTTTGTCTACAGTATCTTACTCCTTCAATCTAAATGGCCAAAAAGTAGGTTATATCCAACCGAGTAAGGGATTAGACAAGGTGACCCCTTATACCATACCTGTTCATTATTTGTGCTGAAGGGTTGTCCAGTCTTATTCACAAAGCAGTGCGGAGAAGGAACTCACAGGAATCAAATATGCAAGGATAGTCCGACCATTTCTCACCTATTTTTTGCAGATGATTCTCTACTATGCTGCCAAGCAAAAAACAGGAGCGTGGAAGGTCAAAAGCATTCTGGAAAGATATGGCAAAGCATCAGGATAGGTGGTAAATTTTGAGAAATCAACTATTTTCTACAGCAAAAATACCATGACCAGAGGAAGAAAAGGTGAAGGACGAATTGGAAAATATGAAAGAGGCAAGGAATAGAACATACTTGGGGCTCCGATGGCAATTGGAAGATCTAAGACAAAAGTGTTTGGATTTGTGAAGAGCAAAATCAACAACAAGCTTCAAGGTTGGAAACAAAGCTACTGAGTCAAGGGGCAAGGAAATACTCATCAAATCAGTAATTATGGCAATGCCAACATATGTGATGGCTTGCTTTAGACTCCCTAGAGGCTTATGTAGACAAATCACATTAAAATTGCAACGTTCTGGTGGGGAAAGGGTGAGCAAGAAACCTGTGTACATTGGGCAAGCTTTCAGAAGCTTCAAAGTTAAGGAAGAGGAGGAATAGGATTTAGAGTTTAAAGCTTTCAACACGGCCTTGCTGGCAAAGCAAATTTGGAGATTCTTAACAGCTCCAAATTTGCTAGTAAGCAAGGTAATGAAGCAAAATACATGAAAGACCCAAACTAGATGGAAAAAAATCCCTCAAACTCAGCTTCCTGGATTGGAAGAGTATACACAGTGCAAAATCACTACTATTAGCTGGACTTTGGAAAAGAATTGGGGATGGCAGGTCGGTAAGTATATGGAAAGACAGATGGATAACTGGATCTGAAAAAGGCATGGTGTCCGGCACAAAACCTGAGGATTACACGTTGGAATGGGTAAACGAGTTGATAGAAGAGGGAGATGGAAAACTGAACAACTCCAAATGGTTCGGTAACAAGGATGCTGAACTCATAAAAGATATCCCAACTAGCCTAGGAAGAAGAAAGGATAAGCTGATCTGGTGCTACTCCAAATCTGGAATGTACACTGTTAAGACTGGCTATGCAGTAGCAAGACAGTTTGAGGCCAAACAATGTGAACTGAGAGGACATGATGCTGAGACAAGTTGGGAGATAAGAAAGCACAGTCTGTAAGAATTTATGGCATATAAAGGTGAACGTAAAGCTCAAACATTTCATGTTGAAATGTTTGCAGAATTGTTTACCGGTCAATAAGGTGCTGTCAAAAAGGCTGGGAAAGGGAGAAGGAAGATGTGGCTGCTATGGGGAAGCTGAGGAAACAATTGAACATTTGTTCTTCTTCTGTGAAAACGCAGCAGAAGTATGGAAAATGGCTCCAGTTAGATGGATGGATTATAGGACAAGCAACATAATCTATGGCTTTGGTGGGAGAAAGTTACTCAAGCACTCTCGATGGAACAAGGACAGGATAGAGTTAACCTCACCATCAACATCCCGTGGCAAATCTGGAAAGCCAGAAACAAAAAAGTTTTTGAATATGCAAACCAGGAACCATTCAAAACTTTACGAAAAGCACAAGCTGAGTGGTTAGAGTTTGACCAAGAGAGAGAGCCAGAACAGGAGGGGATTACAGGTCAGATCAATACCGAACTCCATTCAAGAAGGGAGATGCCAAGGGAAGAAGTGGTAAGATTGTATACGGATGCAGCCATATCAGCCAAAAGGATCAGGACTGCACAAGGGATAATAACAAGGAACTGGAAAGGAATGCTACTGAGAGCTAAAGGAATTGTCACCCAGGGAAAGGGAGCAACAAGTAAAGAAGAAGCACTTGCCATAAGGAATGCATTACTGATGGCCAAACAAATTGGATGGACAAAAATTATAGTCCATACAGATTGCAAATCAGTAGTTGAGTAAATTAACAGATGTAGTGAGAATGATTCTAACATTGCAACTATTTTAGAAGATGTACAGGATATTAGATCAGGTTTTGACAGATGCTCTTTTGTGTTTATTCCTAGAACAGAAAATGAAATCAGCCATGTACTAGCACAGTTTGCAGTAAAGCTAGTACATAACATTGATGGGAACATGATTTCCCAATATGGCCGGTTGATTTAGTAAAGAAGGACAGCAGGGTAGTATCCTCTTTTTGTAACTAATCCTTGTAATATCAAGTGTTAATATCTATAAATTGTTATCGTTTGTTGGGAAAAAAATGTATGTCAAAATTGTATCATACCAGTTGATTTGATACAATTATTATGTTAGGTTGGTAAATAGGAACAAGTACACTAACGAGAAAAGATTCAATCATTGTTCTTAGAGCTACCTATAAAATGGAAGCATCGTATCCGAGAAAGAAACTATAGATATCTAGCTAGCCCTGCATCCCAAAAATGAAAGGTGCGTTGGTATTATATCTCACTCTTATCTACCTAGTTGCATCTGCTACACAATGTTATGGTGAACATGGTTATTATGGATATTATCTGCCTTGTAAATTCCCTTAAGGCTCGTAGCTTAAAAAGATCGGTCAATCATGTGAATGAGGAGTTGGGAAACGAGTATCCGTCGGTTGACATTGGCCCCAAGATGGTCTGAAGGCAGCTGACAAGATCACAGCGTTGCCAGGCGAACCAAATGGCATGAATTTTGATCAATATTCAGGGTATGTAACTGTTGATCCTAAGACTGTTCGAGCTCTCTTCTACTATTTTACTGAGTCTCAAAATCCATCTACCAAGCCTCTAGTGCTCTGGCTAAACGAGGTACAAATTCACTGCCATTATTCTTTGTAGGTTCTGGTTAGGTAGAAATTTCATGAACTTCTTAAATGGTGAGCTTTGACTACAGGTCCTAGTTGCTCTTCACTCGGGGCAGGAGCTATGAACGAACTCGGACCATTTCGAGTTGGTAAAGGTGGAAAAATGCTGTGGAAAAACCCATATGCCTAGAACAGTGGTAGGAATTGATAATTTGTGAAACAGCTGTGAATTTATCTTATAAGACTTAGGATAAGCACTACCAATGAATTTTGTGTTCTAAAAATAGTGGCAAATATAATTTTCCTGGAATCTCCTGCTGGTGTTGGATTTTTTTACTCAAACACATCGTCGGATTACATCATCGGAGAGACAAAAACTGTTGCAGACGCTTACACATTTCTAGTCAATTGGTTAGAAAAATTCCTAGAATACAAAACTAGGGACTTCTTGATGACTGGAGAAAGTTATGCCGGCCATTACGTGCCTCAACTTGTTCAATTGATCCTCCATAACAACAAGATAACTAACCAGACTGTTATTAATTTGAAAGGACTGGCTGTAGGTTTTCTATTTCTTGAATCATCAATTGTTTTTATTTAATTTAACTAGATTACCTTACACATTAAATGATGATTATACTTTGTCCATGGAATTCAGATTGGGAATGGAGACTATGGTATTGAAACATAAAACAGGGCGATTTATGATTATTACTGGACACATGCCCTAATATCGATGAAATCCATCAGGGTATAGTTTCCAATTGCAATTTTTCCTCAGCAGATCCTCCTATAGAGGCTTATCAAGCATACCAAAGCCAAACATCTTTAGCAAAAGGCCATATTGACAGTAACAATATTTATGCTTCCTTGTGTTCTTCTTCTTCGAATACTCCTTCTTCGGTACAAAAAACTTGATTGGATACACTACCACTTTTCTTCCTTCTTGATTTTATGCTCTATATGAAAACGAAATTAAACTAACATATTTTCTAGTATATCTCTGATTGAAGCAGCTAGATGAGTATGATCCATGCCCGGATAATTATGTTTACACTTACCTAAATACTCATGCCGTGCAAAATCACTTCATGCTAATACCACCGGAATCCCTGGACCTTGGAAAAACTACAAATACGTATGATATGATGTTTTGTTATTCTATTTCCAGTAGTATACGGGAAATCCACAATGGATACTTACTTTTACACTTTCCTTTTCATTTTATTAAACTAAGTTTTAAAAAGAAAAAAAAACTTAATTCAACACACAGTGGCTACATAGGCCATAATTGGAATGACGAGATAGACACAGTGTTACCTGTGATCAAGGAGCTCACTTCAAGTGGCATTAGCCTTTGAGTTTACAGGTAAAGAAGTGAAAATTTTGAGTTGTAAAATCATCAATGCCTGAGGACCTTCCTATCCAGTTAGCGTTTGATTAAAATTTGAACATTTTGAATCGTAGTGGGGACATAGATAGTGTTTGTTCTGTGACAACAACTAGATATGCCTTGAACAAACTCAGGCTCTCCGCAAAAACACCTTGGCATGCTTGGTACACTCAAGGCGAGGTAAACAAGAATTAGCTGAAAATTATATGTTTTTTTTTGTTTTTCATTTCTTTGGTTAAAAGAATCCTTGTGTTCAATTGTTGTACAAGGAAAACTAAGTTTTTTAATCCTATGTTGTGTACTTGTTTAGGTTGGTGGTTATGTAGTGGAATATGAAAATTTGACCTTTGTTACAGTAAGGGGAGCTGGACATCTTGTTCCTAGTTATCAGCCTGCCCGGGCATTAACATTGTTCTCATCCTTCTTGGTTGGAAAGCTTCCACCTTCCAACTAAAGCTGATTAAACCAAAGTGTATGATCAATCATGAAATGGAATATGACTTGAGATATACCTACGAATTATTCACCTTGTATTGATCAGTTGTGTATATGATCTCGTATATTTTCTCAAATCAAAATTATTGATCCTTAAAACTTACTCTATTTCTGTAAGCACTAAAGTTAATCATCATGAATTTGCTTCTTGCCAAAAAGTTCCCTTATCAAGTTAACTGTCATGCTTATCCTTGAAAGGTAATCTCAACTGTTCTTAACCCAAGAATGTGACTTGATCAAGAGTTTAATAGCAAAATCTTGGCCACTCGGATGTAAATCCCAAAGGGGATTTATATTTTATTCTTCATCTGTCATCGCCATTAGAGGTGTCAGAATGGATTACTTGGATGGGTTTGAACGGGTTAAAATAGATAATGGATATAAGTAAGTCAACTCATGATACCCATTTAATTAGATGTGCATAAAAGGTTGATGTAATTTTTACCATTAGGACAAGACGAGGGTTTCTTTCTGGAGAACTACGGCAACTAGGTTTTCTATTTGGAACTGCGGCTCCATGGCGGCCGTGACTGCCCCCACCGCATAGGGGGGTCACACGGGCTCTCCTCCGTCCTTCACGAAAAAGTCCTTCTGGACATTGTTTGCGCAACTCCCTTTGTTGGAAGCGCGACAGGTTCAGGTCACGATGGCTACTCATCGGGGGAACCTGCAGTCGTGTTCGATGCAGCAGATATCTCCACCATTGTGTCTGTGTTCCGTTTCTCCTTGGTCGACAAATTCTCTAGAGGTCGGCCGCTACTTCCAGATTTGCGTAAGTTCTTCTTTTCCCTTGATTTGAAGGATTCTATGTCAATGGGGCTGTTGGATTTCAGGCATGTTCTAATTCAATTTAAAAACGAGGCAGATTTTCTTCGGGTATGGGTTAGGAATATATGATTTGTGCACGGTTGCTCGATGAGAGTTTTTAAGTGGTTCTCCAAATTCCATGTGGATCGTGAATCCTCTCTGGTTTCGATATGGTTTAGTTTACCTAAGTTACCTATCCATTTGTTCGACAAACAATGCCTATTCAATATTGTTTCCTGTCTTGGCACCCCTTTGTTTGTAGATTCTGCTACGCTTTCGTTTTCTCAGCCGAATGTTACTCTTGTCTGTGTCGATGTCGACCTATTAAAACCGCTACCTGCGAGGGTTTGGGTCGACATGGGGGATGGGGACGGCTTTTGGCAGCCTTTGAACCCAAAAATTTGCCCAAGTATTGTAGTTTTTGCTATCATCAGGGCCATGGTAAGGAGAGTTGCCATGTGAAACACCCTGAATTTCGGGCACCGTTGGTGGAGAAGAACCCTGATTCGGGTGGGGTCGAGCGGAAAAGAGGTTGCAGGAGGTAAGAGCGTCTCTTCCGGGCTGCTCGGAGAAGGGGTTGCAGGTGTTGCAACCTCCCCTCCAGTGGCTCCCGCTGTGGATATTACTACTATAGATGGTTCTGGTTTGATCGCGATGGAGGAGCCACGGGAGCAGTTGGTTTCGACTCCAGGCGGCGATGAAACTGACCTGGAGCCCGCAGATCACGTGAATCAGGCGCCTACGGACCTAGCGTTGCCTCAGGATGAGCTGACTATTTGCCTACCTGGACTGGTGAAGGAGGCTATAAGGGTGGTGGCGGATCAACTAATACACGTTATCGCTGAACAGGTTACTGCCGAGTCAGATGACGGCGAATCAGATGTTGGCGGCAAGAATGCAGCTATGACAAGAATGCAGCTTTTGTCATAGCTGCTGAGGTCGTTCCAGTAGCGGCGGCTGAGGAGGTAGTGGCGGATGACCTGGGGAACAAGTTCAGGAGGAGGTGAGCACACAACAGCAATCCATGGTTGCTACTTTGAACCTATCTCCACGCAAGGCTAACGCATTTTGTGCTCCGCCACTGGAGGATAGGCGGAAGCTTTTGGATGGTCCGATCACTCGTTTTCGCTCAAAGAGAAATGGTGGTTCACCTCCGCGAACTCCTACTATGCAGCGCCATGATTAAGTCACTCTTCTGGAATGCTCGAGGGTGGACAACGCTCTTATGATAGCTCGTCTAGGTAAGTTGAAACGTATGCACCACATCTCGTTGATAGCTCTTTGTGAGCTGTTGGTAGGTCGTGAGCATTTGGATGTTGTACCCCGAAAACTGGGTTTCCCATTTGGTGTTTCGAATGATGAAAGCAGAATATGGCTATTCTTTGATGCTGAGTACGAGTGTGACATTGCTGTGGCCTCTCCTCAGTTTTTGGCAGTAAAGATTACCCATAGCTA